ATATATATATATATATATATATATATATATATATATATATATATATATATATATATATATATATATATATGCATGTATACAGTATATGAGTTGCTTATTAGTGCTTCACACTCCAGTCCAGTTGGTGGCGGTAAATGCACCAGAAGATGGTTTGCCATCCGCCATAAAACGTTATTAGAAGAAGAAGAAGCTCTTCCTGGGGACGTAACGCAGCGTCACTAACTTGCCAAATTGTTTTTCTGCATTGTGCGTTGGTCTGGCACAGACAACTGATTATGAGCAGCTGAAGTTACAGCGAGCATCAAGAACACCGGAGTGGGTTTGAATGATTTAAAGCTGTGATTCTGTTTATATAAGCCAAGCACGAACCATGTTGTTGTTGTTGTGTTCACAGATCACCTGTCTGTCTGTTCTAACAGCATGTCAGACCCTAAAACAGCTGGAGCTGATGCTGGATCAGTGGTGTCAGACCCTCAACACTCCCAAAAGCTTCTAAGGGTCCTTCAGTCGTTAAGACAAGATGATTGTTTTCAAGATGCAGTGCTGGTTTTGGATGGTGAACAGATTCCTGTTCAGAAAAACATTCTGGCTGCTGCTAGTCCATACATCAGGTATGAGAATAAGCTTGAAACTAGGATACATTTGCATGAAATGAGATCAGATCAGTAGAGCTGGTATGTGTGCTCAGACATGTAGCAGACCCTTGAGCAATGTGTCATAGGGGTGTGCCAAACAGCCCCACCTTTCCTGTAGCTTGGGTCAGTTAAAGGATTAGTTCACCCAAAAAAATAATTTACACACCCTCATATGAACCACTGTATCAGCTCATGAGACTTCTGCAAGACACAAGGAAAACAGGGAATTTTAATGAATGTCCTAGTCAGTTTTTTTATGCATTGACAATGATTTGTGACTGAAAGCCTCAAAAAGCAAACCAAATTAAAAAATGGTTCAAACGAGTGTGAGTTTATGGATGCTCTGATATTCAATGAATAAACTAAATGTAAAACCACTGAACAAAAGTCACTACTTAAAATAAAATAAACACTAACTGGAATAAAATAAAATATAACAAAACGTTAAGCTTATTTTATTTTAGCTAGTTCATAGAGCAATGTTTCTAATTTTCATTTAGTTTAAGTACAGAAATTACTCAAATTAAAGTAAAACTATAAAATAAAACTTAAAAACTATATAGAGATTAAAACAAATGGTAAAACACAAAATTACTAAAACTTTAACCAAAATTAAAATGAAAACCGAAAATATAAAAATAAAATCTAATTCAGAATATTAACAAAGACTATTGTAGTATATCAGAAAAAAATTAATAAATAACATGAACTGTGAGAATCAAACTTTTTGATTCATGGACTATTTATTTAAAGCAAATCTTTTCAAAGAAACAGTTGATGCAATACTCAAATACTCAAATAATATTCAAATAATCAGACTAAATTGCTTTTCAAATTCAGGTCACTGATTCACTTATCAGTCTCTGTGGGATCTCAACTGTTATTCAAAAAAGTTCACTGATAATTCAATAATTCCACAGTTCTGTAAGGATGGTTTCCCTACGGTGGTTCAGGCTGTAGGATTGCCGAATGACTAAAGAAACGTTATCAGCACGATGGTATAAAACTACATTTCTAGTCTATTACCACCCACTGCCACTTATACCAACGACGGAAATAAGCGCAGTTAGAATAGCTAAATATGTGGGAGAGCGTTGCTATTGAGTGACTATATTGTATTGCAATAGGTAGCACTTCGATATTAATGTTGAATCAAGACTAGTTAGCACATAATTAATAATTGAAATGGTTTAATACCAATATTTTGTTATGGTTACACTTTAATTGGTTACAAAATAGATGAAGGATGGTAAAACATGAACAATTAATTGTACCCAGCATGTGTGTAAAATATTACCTGAGAGAGAGAGCAGAGCCCCAAAAGAGAGAGGCAGCAAAGGAAAGAGAGAGCAAAGAAAAAGAGGTCGCAAAGGAAAGAGAAAGAGCAACAGTTGCAATCTTCTTTTATCCCTTCCTTGACCATGTGACTAAAAACCAAATGTGAGACATTCAAACTGACCAATCAGCAGATTGCAACTTCACCCACTGTGCAAAAGGTGTGACAATTAGAAGACCCCCGATATCAGCACCTCTGTGCCTTCAGGAATGCCAAATGGCCCTTTTGTTACTGAAGATAGGTTTGGGACAGGACAGCAGAAGTCTTTGATCATTTTTGACCTTACAGTTCTCTAATCTCTTTCATGCTTAATATTCAAGTTTCCACAATAAGCAACAGAAAACACGGATATTTTGGTGCCATTGTTATCTGGTGAGGAATTTCTTCACACCTCATAATCCAAGTCTACTTGATTGAATCACTGCAATGAAAGGGGAGTATATAAGCTGGAAACATTGTATCAAGGCCCTTTTGCCCTTATTGGCTCAACTCGACTCAAAAAGTCCAGCACTTTTTAGTCAGTTGAGGATTCTGTTACAAAAGTTACATCATGTAAAAAAAGAGAAAGAAAAGGTATGCAATACTCTAGTGTAAAAACCCTGACCACCAAACAGATCCTTGCACATCTTGAATCAGCTGAAACTGAAAAGCTCAAATTTGTAGAGCCTTTGTAGTGCATTTTCTATAACAATTCTCCAAGTTATTAGGTCAGTCTTCTATTAGCTCACAGTGAATGCAAATTCATGTTACTTCATGTTTCCAGGACCAAATTAAATTACAACCCACCAAAGGAGGATGGATCTGTATACAAAATCGAGTTGCAAGGGATCTCTGTCATGACCATGAGGCAGATACTGGACTACATTTTCAGTGGGGAGGTAATTATGTTACTAACAAATACTACATGTAAATATTTCCCTCTGTTATGGAAAACATTGACTTTGAAAATAATAGTTTTCAGGCCCAAAAAAGTAATACAAATATTTTTAAGTACATTTAAAAAATAAAACATTTAATTGCAGATTTCTTTTTGTGAGTGCCATCTGTATAAAATGATTTTAAAAAATCATTATCCATTACAATTAATTCCTGTATAATCACTTATAATTACGAACAGGCTATGGAAAAGTAATGGAAATTAAATGATCAAAATGGGAAAAAATGTATGTGAATTATGAATGTGTGTCACAAACTGTTGGGTTTCCATTGTCATAATTACAGTGCTTTTATAGTTGACTGTTTGGTTAAAAATATATATATTTGGCGCTCTGATTTCTAGATTACCCTGAGTGAAGACACCATCCAGGATGTGGTCCAGGCTGCTGATCTTCTGCTCCTCACTGATCTCAAATCTCTGTGCTGTCAGTTTCTGGAGAGCTGCATAACTGCAGAGAACTGCATCGGTATTCGGGTCTTCTCTTTGCATTACTGCCTGCACCACGTCTACCACGTGGCCACCGAGTACCTGCAGACGCACTTTCGTGACGTGGCTAATACAGAGGAGTTTCTGGAGCAGCCGCCTGATCGCCTGTGTGAACTGCTATCTATGGAGAAGCTCAACGTGGGGAATGAAAAGCACGTTCTGGAGGCCGTGGTCCGCTGGATCGGCCATGACACTGAAGCTCGGCGAGTGAGTGGAACAAGTGTTTTGGAAGGGTTCCATATTCACAGGCATAGGAAAACATAAACAATTCTTTAATTATTTTTGTTCATCATAATTATTTAATTTAGGGTTACTATTGTCAATCCAAAACATTTTAGTTGCTTGAAATAAAATAAACGTTGACTGAAAGTAAAATAGAATTTAAACAAATGTAAACTTATTTAATTTGTAATTTTTGTTTTGTTTAACTTGAAGTACTAAAATAACTAAAATTAACCTAAAACAAATAAATAAAAATGACAAAAAATTGTTTAATTAATTTTTTAAAAAAGTGATCAAAATTAATGTTAAAACAGAAAACATAAAAATTAAATCTAGTTCAAAATATTAGCAAAAAAATCAAATTTTAATTATTAAAAATAATTATATATAAAATAACAAAAATTATAATAGTATATATTCCAATTAAATAAATACTACTATTCAAAAGTTCAGGGTCAGTAAGATTTAAAATGTTATAAAAACTCTTTTATGCTCTTATGCTTACCAAAGTTGTGTTATCGAAAGGACTGTAAAAACAATAATATTGTGAAGTATTTTTACAATTAAAATAATTTTTTGAAGGATCATTTGGAAAAAAATCTTTCTTAACATTACACATTTCTTTACTGTTGCTTTTGATCATTTACACTACCAGTCAAAAGTTTTTGAACATTTTTGAAAGTTTTGTAATGTAATTTGTTTTCTAAAGAAGTCTCTTCTGCTCACCAAGCCTGCATTTATTTGATCCAAAGTACAGCAAAAACAGTAAAATCTTGAAATATTTTTACTATTTCAAATAACTGTTTTCTATTTCAATATATTTTAAAATGTAATTTATTCCTGTGATTTCAAAGCTGAATTTTTAGCATCACTACTCCAGTCTTCAGTGTCACATGATCCTTCAGAAATCATTCTAATATTCTGATTTGCTACTCAAAAAACTATTATTATTATTATTATGTTGAAAACAGCTCAAGTAGATTCTTTTTCAGGTTTCTTTGATGAATAGCATGTTCAGAAGAACAGCATTTATCTGAAATGGAAAACTTTTGTAAAATTATAAATGCCTTTATCGTCACTTTTGATCCATTTAAAGCATCCTTGCTAAATAAACATATTCATTTATATTATTTCTTTTCCAAAAAAATAAAAACATTATACTGACTTTTTATTTCAGATAAATGCTAAGCTTTGGATCTTTCTATTCATCAAAGAATCCTGAAAAAAATTTACTAAACTGTTTTAAATATTGATGATGATAATAATAATAATAAATGTTTCTTGAACAGCAAATCAGCTTATTAGTATGATTTCTGAAGGATCATGTGACACTGAAGACTGGAGTAATGATTCTGAAAATGTAGCTTTTATCACTGGAATAAATTACATTTTAAAATATATTCAAATAGAAAGCAGTTATTTTAAATAGTAAAAATATTTTGCTGTATTTTGGATCAAATAAATGCAGGCTTGGTGAGCAGATGCTCTGTTTTTCATTTAGATCTGTCTTATCATTGTTTTAACTGTAAGTCTCATGATTATCCAATGATCTGTACTACTGTTCAGATGTTTGGGGTCAGTTAGATTTTTTTTTTTTAAGGAATAAATACTTTAATTCGGTAGGAATGTATTCAATTAATCAAAAGTGAGAGTAAAGTCATTTATAATGTTACAAAATATTTCTATTTCAAATAAATGCTGTTCTTTTGAATTTTCTTTTCATCACAAAATGTATCATTGTTTCCACAAAAAATATTAAGCACACAACTGTTTTTACATTAATAATAAGAAACACTTTTTGAGTAACAAAGCATATTAGAATGATTTCTGAAGGATCACGTGACACTTGAGCGTCGAGTTATGAGTGATTCAAATTTAATTTTGCATCACAGGAACAAATTACAATGTAAAATATACTTAAATAGAAAACAGGTATTTTAAATTGTAATAATATTTCAGAATATTACCATTTTTATTGTGTTTCAAATCAAATAAATGCCATGTTGGTGATCATAAGAGACTTCTTTCAAAAACATTAAAAAAATCTGGCCCTTAATCTTAATTTTGCATTAAGGTTTATACAATTGAAAGAAAATCCATAGTTTAAAATTGTCCTGCTTCAATCTGCTATTTGTTTAGCATGCGGTCTGGAAAAGATGTAGAACCACATCCTGTCTTAAGTTTAGTACATCCACAGCAATATAAACCCATCATATTCTCCTGAGCATTTGCAAAAATCCATTGAATCTGTTAATGGATTTAAATAGATTAAACTACATATGACTGTTTGAAATTAATTACAGAGTCTGAGTTGTTGTGCATAGTTCATCCTGAGGATTATTGGGCTTCTATTATTGTTTAATGACTGAACTGTAATTAACTGATAATCGGTCTGTCCAATCAGAGGGGTACCTGTTTGCAATAGGAGGAATGAATGAAAATAAAACTGTCTTGAGCAGTGGAGAAAAATTTGACCCAGAGACCAACACCTGGATCCAAATCCCACCGATGATGCAGGTATTCCTCTTTCCTCATAGTACATAACTACATATTGTCATTATCGAGTTGTTGGTGGGCTGTCTGAATGAATGTGATTTGAAATGAAATGTATATGCAAAATCAGACAGTGGTACAAGACTGCATATTGCATTTCTCAACCTGTGAAGCTTTGTGAATTACATAAGATTAGATCAAAAAGATATAAAATTATTGATTGTAGTCATCTAATAGCTAATGTTAATTGTAAAAACAATATATTTTAAGCTTTTTGCAACATATTTAGATACAGAAGGTTGTTATCATTAAAATCTATTTCTTTGTGGAAAATTTGACATTTCTTGGGATGTTTTTTTTTTTCCTCATTTGCAAGTCACTGAATAAAACCGTCTGCTAAGTGAATGAATGTAAATAGGGAAATTTGAATGGCAATGCTACTGTTGGACTAACATTAACTAAATTAACCATCAATATTATAGATATTTAGACATAAAATTTGGTATAAAGGAGCTTGTTTATTGATTTTAATTGTTTGAAAGTGGTAGAAACGGCATAATCTAATCTTTATAGTGCAGATCTTACATTAGTCACCAGGTGTCAGCATTGTGATATTGTATTTTCTTGCATCTGTCCAGGCCAGACAGCACTTCGCCATTGCAGAGTTGGATGGTATGATCTATGTTTTGGGTGGAGAGAATGAAGACACTGAGGTCCTCCTCACGATGGAAGTTTTTGACCCCCATTGCAATGTTTGGAGAATACAACCAAAAATGACCACAGTGCGCAAAGTGAGGTTTAGCTCTTTTTTTTTTTTTTTTTAAAAATTTGCACAGTTTCACTGCAATACTCTCATGCTTCTCACACTTTGTGTCTCTATTTTTCAGTTCGGTTGCTGTACCACCATGAAAAAGAGACTGTATGTGATGGGCGGAGGATCGTATGGGAAGATTTACGACTCTGTGGAGTGCTATGACCCCAAAACCCAGCAGTGGACAACAGTCTGCCCTCTTAAGGAAAGGAGGTAAAGTGTGTAAAAGGACATTTATTCATTTAGCAGACAATTCTATTCAAAGCAGTTTACAAACACTCACCTAATAGCTTGTTCTGTTCACAATCAATGAGTTAAGTAAATAGTTCACCCAAAAATGAAGATTTGCTGGAAACGTACTCCCTCTCAGACCATCCAACATGTAGATGAGTTTGTTTCCTCATCGGAACAGATTTGGAGAAATTTAGCATTACATTATTTGCTCACCAGTGGAACCTTTGCAGCGAATGGGTGCCGTCAAAATAAGAGTCTAAACGGCTGATAAAAACATCACAATAATCCACAAGCTGCATGTTTGTAATAAATAAATCCATCATCAAGATGTTTTTAATGTCAAACCGTTGCTTCAGGCTAAAATCCTCGAGTCCTCTATCCATAATATTGCTTTCTCTGGTAAAAAAAAGTAATTTCATCTGAATCAGGACAGACATATGCACAGATTAATCATCGTTTAAAGAGAAAACGCCTTAATGATGGATTTGTTTCTTAAACACGCAGCGTTTTACTTCACAAGATGTTGACTGATGGACTGATTACTTGTGGATTATTGTGATGTTTTTATCAGCTGTTTGGACTCTCAATCTGACGGCACCCATTCACTGCAGAGGATCTATTGGTGAGCAAGTGATGTAATGCTAAATTTCTCCAAATCTGTTCCGATGAACAAACAAACTCATCTACATCTTGGCTGGCCTGAGGGAGAGTCAATTTTCAGCAAATGTTTATTTTTGGGTGAACAATTCCTTTAAATACACTTTAAGCAAACTGTTTGCAGTGGAGGGACGCGGGCCAACATTTTGTGTAAGGGTCTGTATTTTTATATAACGTAATAAATGTGTCAGTGTGCCCTTGCAATTTGAATCATAACATTTTACCTTTAAAAGACGATGTAATTTTATTACATTTCGGTAACCAGGTTTTCACTGAGTAGGTGTGAAAGAGGCTACATTATTATTTGATAATGGGAAACAGCAGAAACGTCATTCAGCATAACTTGGCCCTATGCATTCAAACCACAAATGCTGGATGCTCAAAGCGGCATGCTCTTTGTAGATGTGAGTTAAGAGAATGTTTTTTCCCATCCTGCCTATGACGCAGAGAAATGTCAAAAGTTAAACAGATTACATTTTAAGGCAAAGGCAGCACGTCTTCATAAGGGTCTAACAGCTATGAGAACTGAGACACACCCTAAGATCTGTGATGTCTTACAGATGTGTCTTTAGAGCAATAGTAGTCAAGGGACCTATCAGTCTAACCCATGTAACTGGAAACAATTGATCACCATCTGGAGCAACATAAATAGTAATTTTTCTTGGTGTTCTTGTCTTGTTTGGAGAATAATTTTGTCCATAGCTCTGTTACACAATCTAATGAGCTGCCTGGCTGCCTACTGCCTTCTAAGGCAGCATCCTAAACGCCATGAAACCTCATAAGTAACTGATTTGAGACACTGCATAGGTACTAACTACTGACGCAACACCAATAGAACTTTGCACAGAAGACTTGACTCCTCACAATTGGTTTCAAAACCTTAGTCAGGGTAGCACCATCATTTTTGACAAGAATGAAAATGAGGCTGTGAGGGAGAGAAGTACAATGCATGGCAGCGTTTTACTTCACAAGATGTTGACTGATGGACTGATTACTTGTGGATTATTGTGATGTTTTTATCAGCTGTTTGGACTCTCAATCTGACGGCACCCATTCACTGCAGAGGATCTATTGGTGAGCAAGTGATGTAATGCTAAATTTCTCCAAATCTGTTCCGATGAACAAACAAACTCATCTACATCTTGGCTGGCCTGAGGGAGAGTCAATTTTCAGCAAATGTTTATTTTTGGGTGAACAATTCCTTTAAATACACTTTAAGCAAACTGTTTGCAGTGGAGGGACGCGGGCCAACATTTTGTGTAAGGGTCTGTATTTTTATATAACGTAATAAATGTGTCAGTGTGCCCTTGCAATTTGAATCATAACATTTTACCTTTAAAAGACGATGTAATTTTATTACATTTCGGTAACCAGGTTTTCACTGAGTAGGTGTGAAAGAGGCTACATTATTATTTGATAATGGGAAACAGCAGAAACGTCATTCAGCATAACTTGGCCCTATGCATTCAAACCACAAATGCTGGATGCTCAAAGCGGCATGCTCTTTGTAGATGTGAGTTAAGAGAATGTTTTTTCCCATCCTGCCTATGACGCAGAGAAATGTCAAAAGTTAAACAGATTACATTTTAAGGCAAAGGCAGCACGTCTTCATAAGGGTCTAACAGCTATGAGAACTGAGACACACCCTAAGATCTGTGATGTCTTACAGATGTGTCTTTAGAGCAATAGTAGTCAAGGGACCTATCAGTCTAACCCATGTAACTGGAAACAATTGATCACCATCTGGAGCAACATAAATAGTAATTTTTCTTGGTGTTCTTGTCTTGTTTGGAGAATAATTTTGTCCATAGCTCTGTTACACAATCTAATGAGCTGCCTGGCTGCCTACTGCCTTCTAAGGCAGCATCCTAAACGCCATGAAACCTCATAAGTAACTGATTTGAGACACTGCATAGGTACTAACTACTGACGCAACACCAATAGAACTTTGCACAGAAGACTTGACTCCTCACAATTGGTTTCAAAACCTTAGTCAGGGTAGCACCATCATTTTTGACAAGAATGAAAATGAGGCTGTGAGGGAGAGAAGTACAATGCATGATAGAAAACATTGCAATAATATTTCACATTTACTGTACAGTCATTTACTGTACATTTATAATGACATTTTCATAAAGTATTCACAGAGTTGGAAAAAAAACAGATAAAAACGGCAATATAGTAGGTATCTTTTATGCATGTTTGCTAGGTATTAGTTACATTTCAAAATTCTTAAATGAAGAGTACTAGAGACTAGTTTATTTGTGTCTGAATCCTAAATTTGCAAGTACCCTGTATTATCAGCAATTTTCTAAATGACATAATTGTGATTTGTGCACTATTCCTTGACAAGAACGCGGCTGCATAATTTCTCACTTGTTTTCCTCAGGTTTGGCGCGGTGGCATGTGGGATTGGACAGGAGCTCTACGTATTTGGTGGTGTGAGGAACAGAGACGCTGACAATCCAGAGTCCAGTCAGATGACCATCTGCAAGTCTGAGTTCTTCCATGATGAACTAAAAAGGTGAGCGCTTCAAAGCAACACTCGAACAATACTAGAGTAATAAAGAGTACTAGATAGAGACTAGAGACATGCATGTCTGTCTTTACTCTCAGGTGGGTGCATTTAGATGACCAGAACCTCTGCATACAGGCCACATCGTCTTTTGTTTATGGAGCTGTTCCCATTGGTGCCAGTATATATGTGGTTGGAGAACTTGACACTGGTAAGCTGATAAGGTCTTATAATCACACTTTATCCTCTGTCTAGGAATGTCTTTTTATACGTATATCTTCAAATTCCGTCCTTGAGAAGGTCAAAAAGGTTTGTGCTATGATAATAACTTACACATTCAAGCTGCAACGAGGGCATATTTTAACTTTTTTAATATTTTGAGGACCAACGCATCAGCTACTTTGAAAAATTACAAGCTGCTAATGAATTATGAATAGTTAATATCAAGCTACCATTTTGATTAAGTAGTTAAGTACATTAACAACAAAGCTACATTAAAGTAATTAAGGTATATATTGAAATATATTTGTTATAATATAAAGTATAATGTAATATAAGATAAGATATTTTGAAGGCTTATTATAGTCAACTAAAACTTTTTTTTTTAAATGTTGCGTGAAAATGTTAACTGAAATAAAGTGAAATATTAAGAAAAATCTTTTATTTCAGATAGTTTAAGGAAACGTTCTCATTTTCATCTAGATTAACTTGATGTACGAAAATAGCTAAAACATAAACAAAAATGAACGTACATTTCGAACGTAAATATTCCTAAAAGAATTAAGAATGCACAACAAAATTTCTAAAACGAAATAAAATTCAATTGAAAATGGAAAACCTAAAAATAAAAACCTCAATGATACCTCAGTGATACTAAAAAAACACTTTTTTTTTTTTTATTATTAATTATGTATAAGAACAACCAGACCATTATTTAACTCTCAAAATTAATCATCTCAATTAGGGTGTTTAAATACAGCACTTTTACGTAGGGCTGCACGATTATGACAAAAATCATAATTGTCGATTATTGCCTTGAAATTGTAATTGCGATTATTAATTACGATTATCACAATTTACATCGAATGATGTTTATACCATTGTTTGATGCAACTGCATGCCGTATTTTTATATGAAAATAAACAAGTTGAAAACACCTAACTGATAAACTTTTAGTGCTTTTCTATAGTATTAAGCCTCAAATGTCAACTATACATCGGATTGGTTTCTTCTTTAAATTATAAAAAAAGTAAAAAATATAAATGTGAAAATGTTAACTGAAATAAAGTGAAATATTAAGAAAAATCTTTTTTTTCAGATAGTTTAAGGAAACGTTCTCATTTTCATCTAGATTAACTTGATGTACGAAAATAGCTAAAACATAAACAAAAAAGAATGTACATTTCGAACGTAAATATTCCTAAAAGAATTAAGAATGCACAACAAAATTTCTAAAACGAAATAAAATTCAATTGAAAATGGAAAACCTAAAAATAAAAACCTCAATGATACCTCAGTGATACTAAAAAACACTTTTTTTTATTTTTTATTATTAATTATGTATAAGAACAATCAGACCATTATTTAACTCTCAAAATTAATCATCTCAATTAGGGTGTTTAAATACAGCACTTTTACGTAGGGCTGCACGATTATGACAAAAATCATAATTGTCGATTATTGCCTTGAAATTGTAATTGCGATTATTAATTACGATTATCACAATTTACATCGAATGATGTTTATACCATTGTTTGATGCAACTGCATGCCGTATTTTTATATGAAAATAAACAAGTTGAAAACACCTAACTGATAAACTTTTAGTGCTTTTCTATAGTATTAAGCCTCAAATGTCAACTATACATCGGATTGGTTTCTTCTTTAAATTATAAAAAAAGTAAAAAATATAAATGGTATTATAGTGTTATACTAAAAATAAAACAATGGGAAAAAAAGCATCTTAAGCACACAGAATAACATAATTGGACTTTGAACGATTAATTGCCGCTTTGAACGATTACGTAATTGTGGCATCCATAATTGTAATCGCAATTAGAAATTTGATTAATTGTGCAGCCCTACTTTTACACTTATACAACAAATTACTGTATATAATACACTTTTAAATTTAAACCATTTTATAAATGAATCAAAAACAATTTTAAACAGCAATATTTAAGTATTACAATAATATAAATATATATTTCACTGCAAAAATGCCACCAAAAAGGTTTGATTTGTGGGAATACTACAGAATGGTGAGTTTAATGAAATGATTTTTTTGATGACCAGTTTATTGATACAAACTGGTTCGATTGAACAGATTTGCTAAAAATAAACCAGATGGTCATTTTGGAATACTGTACACATAATACAATATAATGTACAGCTATTTGTGTAGAGTAGAGCATAAAATACTCACTGCATAATATATATTTTTTTCTGTTTGGTCTGCAGGCACCAGTTTTGACTATGTGCGGGAGTTTCGCAGAAGCACAGGCACCTGGCACCCCACCAGACCCCTCATGCCCTGTGATCTGAGTAAGACGAGCTGTGCCGCCCTACGCATCACTAACTGTAAGCTGTTCCGCCTGCAACTCCAGCAGGGACAGTTCCGGATCCGGGTTCAATCCACATAAACAACCCACATCCTCACTGCTGGCTTTATGTCTCTCCTCCATCGTCTGCTGGTTTGGAGGACGATGCAGAGGATTGTGGAATTATATTGGCAACAGCAGAGGTTTGATTATAATGTGGGAAAGCTTGAATGAATTGTCTTGTTTTTTTATGTTTGATGCCTTTCTTAGAGGATGAATTGTACATCTTTTTTGTTGGTTCTTTTTTTACCAGTCACAGGAAATGCTGTTACATTAGATGGGACCTGCTCACTATTTTCATGCTTTATATGAATAGATTTTACCTAGCTGTTGTTGCAGCATATTTGACGCTAACACTTTTGAACATTGGTGAAGGGTGTCAAAATTGCCTATTTTATACAATAGTTAAGTCTTAAATGTGGGTTCAGTAAGTAAGGGAACAAATCAAATCAAGAACTAATCAGAGCTAGTGGTATGTTCATATCAAGCACAATTATGTTGCTGATGCAAGTGTCTAGCTACTGTACAAACAAAGTTGAAATGACATGTTAGATTATCGAAGTGATAATTTCTCATTGCTTTTTTGCTGATAATTAAGCTTGAATTTTAAGTTTGCAGTTATGTGTGTATATATTTTATAATTTTAAATATAATAATAATAAGTATATAATGCACACAAAAACGTGTGTGTGTGTGTGTGTATATATATATATATATATATATATACTTGTTAAACTTTGCCAATAAGTACATTCTGCCTTATATGCGAATAACCTACTTATGTTAAAAGTTCCATCTGGGTTTCATTTATGGAAAAAAATTGCCGGTAAAAGCCCAGCTGTGGGACTGTTTGTATTGAATTTGGATAACTGTGGACCTGCTCTTGTTCTGAAAAAGGGCCTTATAGAATTAAGCAGTTTTACTATTAAATTTGTTTCATTCACATTTAATTAGTCTCAACAGTTAACTTTGGTAGCCTTAGTTAATAGTTAAAAAAAGATGTGTTTTATGATCAGAGGAACAAGGGTTTACATTTTAGTTTAAGCTAATACATATGCATTGTATTGTCAAAGTTGAAACCGAAAATGGTGGATATTTGCATATTTTATGTGTCTTTCTGGCTGCGTGATGGTATGCCTGTCTTAACCGATCAAATTCTGCTGTTGGTCTCGTATCCAGGGACTCAAATCACCACAGCATGTCAGAAATAGATGCAAGTTGCTGGTCTCACCCTTATGTGGCGAGATGTATTTTGTGAATGACCTCTGAACTGGCTTTCCTGTCAGAGTGGACGGTTTTGGCATCTGGTGACCCCATTTGTTCTGTGCATGATTCAGCTGCTGCTGTCTGTTCTAATTGAAGGGACGAACATTGCATATTCACCATCATGGAAATGCAATCCAATAGCAAGAATAAATACCACACTTTCACACACTAGACACTAGCATTTGTCAAATGGGATGGGGGGGGTACAGGACCAATTTGTGGTGTTTGCACCAATGCACTGGTCACTAGATTGAAGATGTGCACTATCCAAGGACTGTGTAAGGTGTCATTTCTATATCACCACAAAATTTGCTGTTGTTATTGACGTCGAAGTACTGTCAGAAGGCAGAGGATACCAACTATGCATGATATGTAATGTGTGTTCCTCGCCAAGACTTCACACACAATACATGCTCATGAAAATGATCAACACACTCACTTTTCTATAAACATTGTCATGACTCCATTTGCACACAACACTAAAACACTTGGTGTCTGCCAGAACATTGTGATTAATAAAATGTAGCACATAATGTTTATATTATGCAAAGTGGTGTTCTGGTACTAAAGGGACATTTTCACTGTGGAATTCTCATTCCATGTTTGTGATGTTTTGGAGTGCAAGTGAGGCTTAGATTTGCCTCTAAGGTAATCTTGAAATCTGCCTCGTAATAAAATCTCATGCAGAAGTTGGTGGTGTGTTTTTTTATGTGGTTATTAAAATATGCATGAAATGAAAGGAAAATTAAAAACTGTTTCTTTCTAAACAAATTTTTAGAAACATTTAAGATTTTTTGTTTCATTGTCTTATATCATGAGAATACTGTCACATCATTTAATAAAATAAATAACATCACTATATGCATTGTTTTATATATATAATTTGACATGAATAATGTATTTTAATTTTCAATTATTTTATTTTATATATTTATATGTAGTATATATTAGTGCTAGCCAGGCAATGATTAATCGCATCCAAAATAAAAGTTTTTGTTTATATAATATAGGTGTGTGTACTGTGTATATTTATTATGTATATATAAATACACACACATGCATGTATATATTTAAGAAACATTTTATGTTTATATATTAAATATATTTATAATATAAATTATATGAATATAAATATATACATGTGAATATTTTCAAAATATATACTGTATGTGTGTGTTGTTATATATACATAAGAAATTTAAACAGTACACACACATATAAACAAAAACTTTTATTTTGGATGCGATAAATCACAATTGATCATTGCCCAGCTCTATATTGCATTACAGTGAGAAATAAGAATAATTTTCCATAAAATAAAATAAAACATCTGAAAGTGGTAATCAAAATTTTGTTAAATATATCATAATTGATAATAAAATAAATATCACAATGCCAATAAATAGTATATTTGCATTAGAAAATTATGCATAAAGAATAAACTTTTATCAATAATTTGGAGAAATATTCATGTATAAAATTAAAATTATTTTTGTGACATTAAAATATGGCTTAAATTAATATCACATTGCCAATAAACTGTATATTTTTCATTAGAAAATTTTGCATAAATAATACATCTTTTTATCCTAATTTGATACTAGAAAAATTCATAATAAAAAAGCTGAAAGTGAAACAGCTGTCTGTGGTTGTTTGGTTCTTTGGTTCAACTTTTTTTTTTTTGTTGAAATGTTTTTGTGAAAGCATGCTTTATGGCTTAAGCAATGCACTGCCTTTCACACCAGTAACTTTAAAATCTTTCAGATAAACTTCTACCAGTATTTAATATTGATTCCTCTCAGTTACAGAGATTAAAAATTAGCGAGAGGCATTTCATCAGGAAGGTGACGGTAGGTATTCGAGTGAGTGCAGGCAGCATCCGTTCACTCAGTACACAAGTCATAATAACGTCTTGTAAAACTGAAACATGCCGGGGAATTTAGTCTCTCGTAAGCAAGTCTTGATTGTTGCATAACTCTGGTATGTTACCAAAGTTTGGGTTTTTCTGGCATAACGGGTGTCTCAGCAAACGTTGTGTCTATGAATGTGTTGGGTCTTGTGTTTGTGTGTGTGTGCGAATGAATAAACAGTGCAGGACAGGCATGGGATTAACAGGATTACTGAAGATAAACAGGATGAGGTAAATTCACCCAAACTGGGCTGCTCATATGACTGGACTTACATTAAACTAGAGGTCTTGTGACTTTGGACATGGCTAGTGCTGCTCAAACAGGCACGCTGGGACTGTCTTGAATAGTCTTAACGTCCTTTGTGACCTCAGATCATACCTGCAAAACATTTGTGTGTATGAAAAAGTGCAGCTGTTGATTTCCAAATGTACCTCATAGTCCATGTCTGTTGGCTTTGAGGTCTTTAATAAGATAATTTCAATAAGTAATTTTATATATAATTTAAATACAATAATAGTTTTTATTAATATTTTAAAGGGTTAGATCACCCAAAAATGAAAACTCTGTCATTCTTACCCTCTTGTCGTTCCAAAGCTGTAAGACCTTTGTTCATCTTTGGAACACAAATTAAGATATGTTTGACGAAATCCGAGAGCTTTCTGGCTCTGCATAGACAGCAATGTAACTGAAATGTTCCCAGACCCAGAAATGCAGTAAGGGCATCGTTAAAATAGTGCATGTGACATCAGTGATTCAACCATAATTTTACGGAATACTTTTTGTGCGCAAAGAAAACAAAAATAACAACTTTATTCAACAATTCTTCTCCTCCTTGTCCCATCCTCTGCCACTGGGGAGAGTACAGTGATGCATGCGTACTGCATTCCTCTGCACGTAAACAAGGCACAGCGCATGCGTGTTCCATATTAGCAGCAGCACACGCATTCATCATGATACTTTCCATAATGGTGGAGGACTGTTCCAGAAGAGAAGAAATCGTTGAATAAAGACGTTATTTTTGTTTATTTTGCACACAAATGTATTCTCGTAGCTTTGTAAAATTACGGTTGAACCACTGATGTAACATGGACTGTTTTACCGATGTCCTTATACGTTTCTGGGCCTGGAAACATTTCAGTTACGATGCTCTCAGGATCAGAAAGCTCTCAGATTTTATCAAAAACATTTTAAAGGGGTCATATGATGTTGCTAAAAAGAACATTATTTTGTGTATTTGGTGAAATGAAATGTGTTTATGCGGTTTAAGGTTAAAAAACACATTATTTTCCACATACTGTACATTATTGTTTCTCCTCTATGCCCCGCCTTTCTGAAACGCATCGATTTTTACAAAGCTCATCAGTCTGAAAAGCGAGGTGTGCTCTGATTGGCCAGCTATCCAGTGCGTTGTGATTGGTCGAATACCTCAAGTGTGTGACGGAAATGTTACACCCCTACAATATTGTGATGCCCTGTATGGCCGGAGCGACGAGACAAAAACATTAAAACCTATTATAAACGAGGCATTTGTTGCATCCAGTGGGGACATAATTACGGATTATAATGACTTATACTGTCTTTTTATGCGTTGCGTTGCATCGCACCACGTAAACATAAAACCATGTCTGCATTTGTGATCGGAGAAATGACAAACAACACTAGCGTCACACACCGCGGCCTAGAGTGAGCTGCGGCCTAGAATATGCGGAGGCCGGCTTGAGTGAGCAGAGGCGGGCGGGCTTGAGTAGTTTCGTTTTCACAACGAAACACAGCGCCTTCACGACATGGCGGAGGCAACAACAAAACTACAGCGAGAATAAAAGTTACGCCTTCTTTCTTTGTGTGAACATTTGGGCGGTGTTATGCAAATCTTCCCACATCGTGACGTAGATATGTGGGGGCGTGTTAGAACGAGCCGTTTTAGGTAGGCGTGGTTGACTCTTAACTTTTATAAAGAATATCTCTTTGGATTTGAGACTTTAGTCTTTGCAACTTTACAGATCTTCTTTATGCACCAAGAGCTTGTAACACTCCAAAGAGAAAGGAAAAATTTAAATCGCATCATATGACCCCTTTAATTTGTGTTGCAAAGATGAATGAAGGTCTTACGGGTTTGGAACGACATGAGGGTTAGTAATTAATGACAGAATTTTCATTTTTCTTTTAAGTTAGGTTTAATTTTTATCTTTTCAGTATTCATTTTAATTAGTTTACTTTTTAGCAATTTTGTTATGTGCTTTTGTTATTTTTTTGCTTTTTTAAAACATTATTTATTTTTATTTCAGTCATATTTTTTTGTTAAATTTTTGTGCTTCAACTTAAACTTAAATTAATTATTAATTTATTAAAACTTAACTTAAATAATTTTAATTTAGATTTTAATTTTATTTCAATTAACAAAAAATATTTTAATAGTTTAGGATCAGTTATTAATAAAAAATCTGTTGTGCTGCAGCCGAGTTGACA